ATCCATGATCCATTTGTCACCCACTCATCCTTTTGATCGCTTTTTTGGGGGTTCTTTTTAGATCCCTACTGCCCAACACTACTGTATTTCTCTCTCTCTCTATGTGGCACCAGTGGTCTAGTGGTTATGCTACTGGACTCGTAATCGTAAGGTTGCATTTTTTGCAGGTTTAGAGTTTGCGCCTCAGGCCCGACGTTGCATCCTTAGCATTTTACACTAATTTTCTCACTTCACCCAGGGAACCCGGCCATAAACAGTGAAAGATCTTGCCAGTATGTTAGTGTTTTAGAGCCTGTAAAATGGTAGCTTGCACTGTATGCTTCCCAGGAAGCTGACAGTGTTTCAGAATGCTTTCAGGTCTGCAGGGATATTAATATTGACTGCAATGTGTATAGAACTTGCTGTTGAGCTGGAATTTGCAATACACAAATGCTACTTATTATCAGTAAAATATGCGAGTCATCTAGGTGAAATCAGGCGCTCATCAAAATGACGAAATCAAAGAAACTGGCATTTTGCGGGCGGTCGGCAAGTTTTATAAACTTTTTGTTTTTTCGCTCAACAGCGATAACACCTTTCATATCTTTTTAAAAACACATTTCCGTGGGGATTTTATTGAAAGCATTGGTTAAAGGCTAAAAAAAAGTACATTTTCAGTTTTCAAGGACTCTGAAGCTATGGAAGTCACCAATCTTTGACGTCCATTTTCTCACTAATTTTACCTCTGAAACCAGGTGACCCCCACCTCCTTCAATCACAAATATCTCGACTTCTATTCAAGGTAGATGGGTATTCCTTTCATCAAAAGTAAGTCAAAGGAACAACCTTTAACTCACTGACTCCTGTTCTCAAAACTGCTGCGTAATGGGAACTACTGTTGAGGAGACAAACAAATATGCTCAGGCAATTATCGACGAAACAGTTCGGCCATATACCGAACATTCGTTTGCCAACCAGTGGAAGCCTGTCATTGTGAATGACATGACTGGATTCTTTTTATTGCTGATCCACAGGGCAGTGATAAAAAAAAATTGAGCTACATAACAATTGGATCACACCTCCATTTGTGAAGATAATCATGAGTCGGAATCGCTTTCTGCTCATCCTGAGAGCTTTTAATTTGAGTGACAATAGAACATACTACTTACCTCCAGATCATCTTCAGCATGATCCTCTGCACAAGATCAGGTTTTTCTACAAACACAGGAAACATTCGAGAACCTGTACACCCCAAACAAGAAGGTGGCTGGATGAAGTTATGTGCCCTTGGTGGGGCAAACTATGCTTCAAAGTTTACATATATTTATAAAACAAACCCCAAAAGAGGGGGAATCACAAGCGCATATTATATGTATTCAGGTTTGAAGTATATGCTCAAGAGAGGACAACAACCGTCCCAGTGATGTGGTTTTGCGTCTGATGGAGCTAATTCTAGAGAAGGGATACTGGCTCTACACAGATTCCTACTATACATCACCTAAACTTGCAGAGGCACTCGTAAAGAAAACTCTGCTTGTGGGAACTGCAAAAGAACAAAAGAGGTCTTCCACGATGAACGAAACACTGAGGAAGGGGGAGATTATTCATAGAAGGAGGTCTCCACTCGCTGCCCACAAAAACCATCAAGCCTTTGGTTGTTCAGGACTACATAAGCAATATGTCAGGGGTGGATCAGAGTCACCAGTGGCGCAAGCTGTTCACTCTGAGCATCATCAAAAGTGCTATTCTTTACACAAAGCTTCGGATTTAAAGCAAAAGACAGCCCGCCCTTCAACTTGGTCAGTTCATCCTTCCACTGGCTGAACAGCTAATCGAGCTCTACATGGCAAACAAAGTGGAACAAGATCCACCATGACAAGGTGGACAGGCCGCCCTTGCTCACAACACTGTGGCCAGACTTGTTGACAGACATGTTTCTGGCTTGCTGGCCTCTACTGAGATGAAGTTGCTTTAAAAAATACCACACAAAGCAAGAGTATTGGCTATAAAATTAATAAAGTGAGCACCTGTCTGTTATGCATTGATATTTGTAACAATTTTGTATTATACTTCAGTCTTTATGTGTAATTTTTCATGACTTCTGTGGAGCAGTTTACATCCAAATCAACTTGGGGTTGGAACTAGTCAGTGTCATTAAAGCAATTTTTTAAAAATTAAAAAATATGGATCAATTTTTTTAAATCACTGGAATTCACAAAAACCAAATATTCCGAAACCAATTTTATTTTCACAAAGCATACCCACTTGTTTCATTAAGTGGGCACAAGTAGGACTTTCTTTTTATAACTTCGGTGATTTTAAAAAAAACCCTTACAATGGGTAGGCTCCACGGCTGGACTAATCAGAAAAGAGGGAATCAATGAGTGCTATAGGCCAGAATGGCATGCTCCATGTCGTTTCCTTTTATCTCTATCCGTCGTCAAAACAACACCAAGTGTGCCGTTTTCAGCTCCTTAATTTAATATACATTTCCCTTCAATCCTCTCAATTTAAATATATTTATAATACTGATCAAGTAAGAAATTTGCAATTTGACGACATAATTTTCGAATGGTAGCGTGTTGTAATGTATCACCGACAATCTTAGATCTATGTGGTGTATTTGGTTGTTTTTGGTTGTGGCAGGAGGTTAGGCCTAGCCTATTGTATTGTTTGGCTGAAAGTGTGAGAGTGAGTAAAGTGTGAGTCTGTGTTCAGTTGTATTGTTTGCAAGTTGATAAAAGTCTGAGTTACTACTGGTGGGACTTTTAGAGGAGAGAGTTGTATCATATCAAGGCAGAGGAGGCCTGCTGAAAGTATAGGTTGTGAAAAAGGTTAGTTAGAGCCTCGGTTCAGTTGTGCGTGAAGTGTGAGATTCCAATCCAACGCATCGGGGCCCCAAAGCTGCGGAAAGAATCACAACACAGAGCAGAGGAACAGGTTTGGCTAATTCCTGTTATAGTAGCATGTGACAGAAGGTTAGTAGTGTTAAATCTTTGTTTTGTGTTCCAAGTAACAACAACCTGTTTTCTTTTCTTTTTTTTTTTGGTAAGTGTTTTACGGTGCTCGCAACTGCATAAGGTCATATGAGCTAGGGACACACCAAACATTTTAAATTGGTAGGAAATTTTGAATTTTGTTCGGGTGGCGGCCGAAGCCTACTCTTATCAATCTTGGACCAACAAGAGATTTTTAACGTGCGCAACTTGCATACAGGCCCTCTGAGATCTTTCGCTCTTGTCCGAGAAGGCTAGGTGTAGATCTTTCCTACCAGAAGATCAGGGGTGTGGCTGAAAGACAGCAGTAAGAAGGAGCCAAGGAGTAGCTGTAGAAAGCTGCAGAAAGAGTCAGGAGCTCAGTGGAGGGGGCAAAGGAGGTGAGGGGGTGGGGGAAGAAAGTGGAGACGAAAGCAGATGACAGAATATTGCAAGAGAGAAGGAAAGAAGGTGAAAGGAGACAATTTTAGAGAAGCAAATTTTTCCGTCGCTACCCGGATTCGAACGAGGGACTTTTGAACGAGAGGCAAACACCTTCCTCTAGGCCACGAGAGCCCCCGATCTATTTTCCCAATCAGAATTAGAATCAGAATTCTGGCTGTTCAGGAAAATCCAAAAAATCATTTCTGGTTGATAAGAGTAAAGATGATACTAATAAAAATCGTAACTCCATTTACCAAAAAATTGACGACGCCTGATTCCACTGCATTGTGACACATATATTCATTCTGTGTATCCCAGCTTGATAAAAAGTCACATTTGAAGATGTACACACACACACACACACACACACATACACAAACACATAAACATGCATACACACACACACAAACACACATTATTTTTGTTCACGAATGCACAAAACAGACTCTCACTCTCTCTCTCGTCTCTCTCTCTCTCGCCACCCCTCATTCTCTCTACCTCCCCCCCCCCCCCCTTTCTTACACCTTCTCTATCTCTCTCTGCTGAAACGGCATTACTGAGCTGAAAGCCCCTGCCAATAAAACACACCACGCAATAGTATCTCTGCCAGACAAAAATGTCTCTGCACACAAAATCTTCTCCAATAGAATAATCCAAGACTTCCTTTCCCATTATTATTTGACAATTTCATTGGTTACAAAACAATAAAGGCTCTTGCATAAGTTAAAAGAAGAGGTTGTTCAAAGTATATAAAATGCATTTCAGACTTGCGAATGGAAGGAGAACAAATGGCAAGCATTAACATCTGCAAATCATTTGATAAGACCATCGTCAGCTACACCATCATCTGCCATTCAGTCTGAGCAAAAAGAATATGATACTGTAGGCCTATGCTTTGTACAGATAATAATGCATTAAAAACAGCACATATGTAAACTTGACTTTGAAGAAAAGCACACTGACTCAGTAATGGTCACATCTGGTGCAGGGAAGAAGCAAGACAGATAGACAGAAACGAACAGAGGGAAAGAAAAGAACTCTAGGAGTAGTACCTACAAGTAGCACCCTTCAATCACCTGCAAAAACACAATTAAACTTGATCAATAACGACACATATAAAAAACACTGTGATCATCAGTCGACCAGCCTAGAAAAATATACTGTAACTTATAATTTGATTCAAATTCAGTTTTAAAAAGTGACCCTAGCTCAATCCAGAGACAAAAGACGTAGGTTTTTAAGGTTTGCAAATGAAGAGTAAAAGTATTAATAAGTCTACACAATCATATTGAACAACCCCTCCCCCCCATCCAACCCATTGACTAGTCACATCCAACTTTCTAAGGAGCAATGGCAATAGCGTTACACTGCAGGTAAAATGCGGCACAACAATATCAGTGCAGTGCAACAACAGTTAAAAAGACAAAAACCAACCTGTATTTTAAACCCTTCAGAAATGATCACTTTTCCCTATGAGTGGAAAAAACAAATTTCAATCTTTTGTCTAACCAATCCGAAGCCATCCAGAGTGACAAAACCATGGGGAAGAACGTATAAAATAAACCCTTCAAAGAGATTTTAAAATCAAAAGACTGTCAGAATATCTTTCCTTTTATATTTTTCTTTAAAATGTCACTAAAAGATGCTGATAGTCACATATTGGAACAAACCTTTCGCATAAACCGACTTCAAAGATTACTATCTTAAACACTGAAATTTGCCAACATTATTACCACTTTAATTAATAAAAACATAATTCCAGTTTCTCATCCCAATAAACTACATGTTCACACACTTAATACTTAAGTAATCTTCAAGACCTAGCTCGTTTTAGTCAAATAAACACAATAGAAAGTCTTCATGAACAACTCACTCTTTCTCTCTCTCACACACACACATACAAACCCATTGACATTTACAGTTTGCACCACACTGTCTTCAACCGTTTCCTTTCACAGTGATTCGAGCAGCCTAAAAATGTACCATTAAGAAACATTAAGTGTCAAACTTTAAGAAACTTGTCAATTTACTGTTCCAACTTTGCTTCCTCTCTGGCCATCCAAGTGCTCCTCCCAGCAAATTGCCATCAAAGTGCACAGACTTAAGACTAACACTCCGATACACTGCAGACACACTAGTAAGCACTGCTGACTCAATCATGCGAAAATATTCTTTCGGTGTGTATCCGTCTCGAATTGATCTACACACACTAATCACATCTGGTTTACGAAATATGGAAGACAAAATTTTCTTTAATGTCTTTGTTTGAGCAATGACGTCTTTGTTTTCTGGTAAGGAAAAAGTGACCTCTGTTTTCTCAGGAGTATTGTCTCCATGACACACATGAAGAATTCCACTCACTGGAAAGTGAATGGAAGACGGAGAGGTAGAAAAGCATATGCCCACTTTTGACAAGCTTTTGAGCTGATCCACACTGAAATTTGTTAGCACCGCGAGAAGACTTTGTAATCGCAGCCCATTGAGTTTTTCCTCCTGTGCGCATAAAACATGCTGCTTCTTATGACTGAATAAGAATTCCAAAATGTTTGGAACATTTTCTATCAGATAGTTAGATATGTCCACATCTTTCAGACATCTTTTTTCTCCAGGCGGTCTATCAACATCACATGATTTCAGCTTAAGACTTATGATGAGATTGATTATGGCAGTGTAATAATGATCAGCGTCTTGCTCCTGGCGGGGACTAAAGGCACACAAAAAATCAGAGACCAGCTCAGAAATCATGTCTACTTTTTCTTGAACAATTCCAGCTTCGCTGAAGGGAATCATGTCACTCCAACAGCCGAAATAATCTTCATCAATGTCCAGGATAAGCCCTCCCAGCCTGTCATGTTCTTCCATGGCTTTCAGCACAGTCACTGCCTTTGACTCACTCAATGTCTCCAGCACTCCCTGTCCTTGGATCTGACAGTCCGACCGCTTCATCAATGGACCTATCTCAATATCCACTTCAGAATCATTATGCCTTCTGCATTCCCAGTCCAAAGAATCCTCTTGCTTCATCCCTTGTCTGACAGTTCCACCCTCTGAACTCCTGACCTTCCAACAAGCACATAGGGCCAAAGGCTTGGTGTAGCCCATCTGAAAGTCAATGATCATGTGATCTGTCTCTGGGCCCTCATGCGACTCCTTGTCCCAATCTGGCCAGATCCAGATCACATGGTCAATGAAGCCAGTGAGCACTGCTGACTGTAGAAAGAAAAAAAAAAGCTAAAGTGAAGACAAAGCCCTGAGGAGTTTGAGTGAAACTTTTTTCAAAATTGCTGTTTAACCACATAGAAAGTCAGTATGTGTCACGACGGGGTACAATAAGGCGCTCATCAATTTTTGGCCATATGGAGTTATTGGTATAATTTTAAAGCATGTTCATTTGCCTTTCTTTGAATGACAAAAATATCCTTTTATCTGGAATAGAAACAAGGATATTTCAGACTGAAGGAGGTGGTGGTCACTGGCTTCAGAGGTAAAATTAGCAAGAAAATGGCAACCAAAGTGTGGTGACTCCTATAGCTTGAGAGTCCTTGAAGACGGAAAAATTTACAGTTTTGTCCCTTTAATCACTGTTTTTCCGTAAAAATCCACACATAAATGTATTTTTAAAAGGACATAAAAGATGTTGAGCCAAAAAAACAAAAATTCGATATAATACCAAACCAGCAGAAAAATGCCTCTTTCTTTGATTTCAGTATTTTGACGAGCGCCAGATTTCACCACGAAGCCTCACAAAGGAATTCATCAGGTCAAAGGTAATACTCTTGGAGCAACATTGAAAATCAGCTTATCATGAAGTACAATACATCAGTACAATCCTCATACTATCATTTCTTTTCTCCTTCATCATTATCTTTGAAGAAGCAGGTCTCTCTTTAAAAAAAAAGAGGAAAAGCCTTAAAGATACCCTAGCTGGGCCCCCTTTCGATGCTTTAATATCAACTAAAAGTCATTGGCCTACTATATTTACACTCTACTGGAATGGGGAAATAAATCTTGAGAGATGCAAAAAATAAGAAGGTCTAGATCTATAATCTCAAAACAAAATGCACCTCGCGAAATATCACTTCCGGATTTTCTAAAATTACAGAGACAGAAGCGTCGGCCTACAAAAAGCTATAGGCGAAATAAAGAAATTTAGGTTTTTGCAGCAAAACTGTCTCAAACCTGAAAAAACCAAGGGCGTCATGATCTGGAGAATATTTAAAAGAATTTTTTGGCAAAAACCACATGTCAATCGATGCTGCCATTAACTCACTGACTACGGATCACATCACGGGTACGGGCAGACGGTTCGGTTCGCAGGTACGGATCCCGTATCCCCGACGGGATGGACTTTGCGGTTTTGTTCCGTATCTTGTGTTCCCGTCACATGAATGGGAACGGACTCCAGTGCTAGTTTTGCCTCTTGTTTCGTTTCGTGCCGAGTTTGGCGGAAGTTTCGTGGTAACGTTTTAAGCAATTGAAGGTAAAGGACAGTCACCTCATCTGGGGTTGACCTGACCGGAACTCGTGCTATGCTTTTTCTATACAAATGATAGTAATTTGACAGTCGCGTTGAAGTAACGGTCGCATGAACAAGAATCACATAATTTCGCTGTTTTCGATACTTCTGTACGTTTTGCTAGTTCTAGTGACTCAGGATATGATGTGTCTGATAGTTAGGACCCTGGATATGTACCCGAACACAGCCCGAGTCGTAGTTTTAGGGCTAGATCAAGCACTAGCACTGTTGTTGTTGTTCGCGTGACGAAATCACAACTTCGTTCCCTACATCTGTCTCATGTAATTCAGTGTATGGGTCTGAATAAACGCAAAGACCAGCGTTTGTATTTTCACCAAACACTCACACATGGATACAAATCAAAACAAAACTTTGAACTTTTATTTTTGTTGTTGTTGTGAATTTCATTCTAACTGTTGTGTCTCTGGAAATTTTTCGAAAAATCAAATTCATTCCAATTTTGAAACAATCATAAGAATTAACTCATTTGCTACGCCGAGCCGTGGGGGGCGGCGCGGCTCAAGTGCCGTCAGTACGCCAAGCCACCCCTGGCGGCTCGAGAACCAACGTTCAATTTTAGCTTGGTTTCTATTTCAATCCACATATCCATGTTAAAATAAAGGTCATAATATAAAGTTGACTTCCGGGTCAAGCGTTTCAACCGAAAACCGGAAGTTTTGATTCAGTTTTGAAACACGATTTCGTAGTTTATTCGACTTTGTTTTATCGCGAAGCCCAAATTATAGCCCAGACACCAGTCTTGTCTTAGTACTTTTACACAACAAATTGTATCACTATTTTGCTCACTAAAGAAATGTAGGACTCTTCTTTATAATATTGATACAATTGGACGCAAATTGCCGGTGCACTGTAATTGAGAAATCAATATTTTTTAGTGCTAGATCGAGGCCTAGATCTAAAGAGTCAAAATATTTTTTTCTCCCCAAAATCACTACTTTTTGGTGAAATTACTTAAAAAGTACCACCCAAGACATGTATAGGTTTATTCCAAATGCAATTCTGAATAATTCCATACAAGATACGCATATTTTTTTCTGTTTGTGATCCTTTTTTCAAAATTATTTTAAAAAATTTTTTTTTCAATATCGGATGTTATGATCAAAATGTACAAATATTATGGAATGTATGTAAATAACTGCACATTTTTCAATATTTTCCTGTTCTATATACATTTATGGTTATTTTGAAGTATCGTTTGACTAGGTGCAAACATATTTTTTTAGTTTCACCTGAGATTATACATTTTTTATTTTCCAATTTTATCCGCATCCAATCACAATTGTGTTGCATAATCGCCTCTTACAGGAACCAAAGTTGAAAAATACGCAAATAAATAATGCAGATGTATTCTACAATCCATACTGAAAATGTTGGTATATAATATGTTGATATATATTTGAATTTATGGCCCCAAAGACCTGTGAACTGCGCACTAGTCATCATCTCAATTCGCCCTCCCGAAAAGAATTCGTCCACAAGCCGAAAATAATACGTAGCGAATGAGTTAAAGTATTAGACCTAGAGAACTTAATTTTTTTGCAATAGATTAAGTTTGAAAGTTACTTTACTGTGTCAAAAATTAATTACAATAGGGTAATTCTGAGAGTTGTGGTGGTGTTTTGAAATACAATACCCCCAAAAATGCCAGTATTCAGCGCTAGCGATTTGTGAAAGGGGCCAATAGTCAGTGAGTTAAAAAGCCTTTTGAATAGCAAAATTCGGCCACCACACATAGATAATAGATTACAGATTCAGAAGTGCAATCAAAACTGCACTGAAGTCTTAAGTTTTACCAATGAGTATTTTCATCATTCAGCAAGGTTGCATTAGGACAGAAGGAGCTTTCTCACATTACAAACATGAAGCCAGACTTCGAGGCATATTTAAATTTACAATCTATTCCACCAGTGGGAATTTCTTTTGAAAATATGAAGACTTACAGTGGCATGGGGTAGTGCTGGAAAGGGGTGGCACTGAGCCACCCATCTGCACATGCCTATTCATGACACTATGGACTTCGATTGCTTTTTGTGCATCAACTGTGTTCATTACTCTCCCATCACAGTAGCACAAAGCAGAAAAAAAAAATGAAATAGGTACAAGCAAAACCGAACCTGCACCACACTGGAAATCAATTTGTCAAAAGAATACAGCATGGAATTTCTCTCTTCAGAACTCGGTCACTGTGTCATGTTAAAAAAAATGTTAATGTATCCTGATTTACGATTATTACATAATCTTCCCACAAGAGTGCTGGAGGTACATTTAGTTATTCCTTATTGATCATAAAAACAGACCTAAACAAAAGAGAAGGGGAGGGACACATATTTGTCAGATACATTTTTGTAATAAAAAAAAAAAAATACAATAACCTTAGAAAACGTTTCATAAAGATATAGTCTCAGCGTACTTTTTGTACAAATGCATTTGGCACCAGAATTGCAGTATTTCGTGTTGGTTAAGAATTGCTCAATCTAAAAGGTGTGAATAAGAAACTTAGAAGGAAATAAGACAAAATACAAGGTGGATTCTAGTTGAAAAAAGGCAAAACTGTAGACACCTCGGAAAGGTACACAAACAGTTACTTGTATTATTATTGAAGGTGTTGTTACAGACATTTTTGGCCCCTGTTGACACAATTTAAATACTTTAAGGGGTCAGCTGCTTCAAACCCAGTTTATCAGGTCCAACTTTAGCTGGGTCAGATGCATCCCAACAAAAAGATGGAGTCTTGCTAAAATGTTAAACCCATCTGGAATTAGAACATTACGAACAAGGGGGAAACCTGAAAAGCAAATCCTTAGAAAAAAAAGAAAGTCAACAAGCCTTGCACAAGCACCACTCACGAACGTTCACAGAGAAAGGAAGAGAAAAACCTGGTGTGACCTCCAAAGGTTTACTCACAATGATGAACATATCATTCCTCTGCATCATGTTGTGAACTTCCTGTGGACTGCGGGGGAACCTGAACCAAGGGATGGAGTCCACATTGAATGGCACTGCCCCATCAACATGGCCATCTATATGGATCTGATAATGAAAGGGGACAGTTGTGTTTGTACAATCATATGGTTATACAACAAGATCATTTGCTTATCTGCTTGAGATACTTCTTTAAAACAAAAAAACAACCAACACATTTACATACTATTTGTGATGAATTTTGTATACAAAGTCAAAGAGAAGGTACTAAAAGAGCTTCTTTTGGAGAAAAGGAACAAGTGGTGACAACTCCAAAAATTTAGATTGACCTTTTAAAGCAATCTTTTTAGAGAGCAAACTATCTTTTTATGTACTATCTTTGGTTCCAGTACAGAAAGGATGGGGAAAGAGGATACTAGCATGGATCAATATACAAAACAATACTTTATGTTCCAGCTTCTCAGCACACTCCTCTTTATCCACACAATATCATTTGATTACTAAGTATACACAAAATCTGTTCTTACTCAAAACAATCTTGTGTTATGTCTGTCACACCAGCATGTCATTTGCATTATCTACAGCCACATATTGTAAAGTACAATCTTTTTAAAGAATCAAAATTATAACCATGTCTTATCTCAATTCTCAGAGCTAATATTTAAATCAAAGTAGGCCTACATGCATTCATAACACACTTTAGTTTAAACTCAGTATCTCCCTTCCTCCAGTCCTTTTTCAAACAGATAGCAGATAATTTGCTGCTGCACTTTGATCTGTTAACATAAGTAGCTTGTCATTAACATAATGAGTCATTAATATTTAATGCAGACAACCTTTGAAGAATGTATCCTCTTTCATGTCCTCACAGGTCAAAAAACCCCTGAGTCAAAGAGACAAATAAATAATTATGATCCTTCACAAGTCGCAACATATGGCTAACATATTGTCAGTATGTTATTTTCAATCAGCACTTCCCCTTGAACCTCTGTTCACTGCCTACACAACCCAACAAGCACAAGGTCTCTCTAGCTCAGGCGAGTTTCTTACGACCATCTATAGGTGACAAATCAATACTAATCTTGTATTCAGGGATGCCACCCAACTTTTTTGAAAATAGCTGAAAATCCACGCGCCACAGTCTCGCTAACATATGAATATCAATTTGAAACCCAATGGGCGGAGATAGAGTAGAGAGAAATGACAAACAAACATAAGCAATGGGTGTAATAGAGAGAAATGACAAACAAACATAAGCAATGGGTGTAATAGAGAGAAATGACAAACAAACATAAGGAATGGGTGTACATAGAGAGAAATGACAAACAAACATAAGGAATGGGTGTACATGGAAAGAAATGACAAACATAGATTAGATGTACTAACATGACAGAATCTTACCTCTCACTTGCATATTTCAGGCATAGAGGTTTTTCCGTTATTTGAACATTTGGCGCAAGTTGTTGTGGGTGTGTGGATTTTTTTTTTTTTCAACTATAGATTCTATCTCGATCTCAATAACGGAATAGCAGATCAGGATCAAAATACCGGAAATACCGGAAAAAAGGGGAAAAGTGGCATCCCTGTGTATTATCCACTCAATGGCAAAAAAGGTTTTGCAGGTTTTCATTTATCTATAGGATACCTCTGTAGCAGGGAGAACTGAAAAAAGAGAACTTCTTACAGGTTGTGCAAAATGCTTGATTTTTTTGTACATGAATTTCATTTTTGAACTTTAAGAAATGAAATACTTTTCACAATTTTTAAATTTTCATAAATGAAATGTCTATTTTTCAGCAATCAGACTTACAACTGCTTCATCTTTGCAGAAGATATTCCCAGTAAAAAGTTACTACAATATAATAGCGCAATATTTAAACTGAAAATTTACTCTTAACTTTGAATATTGAGCAATTCAAAGTCAAATTTTGAATAATATATGTGCAAAGCTTACTTTTTCCCAAGCCAAAAGCTTTTAATTTTCCAATATCAAGTTTTAAGGATTGATCCATTTTGCGTGTTCCCTACAAGAGATGGCGACTGCCTAAAAGAGAGGAAACTTAAGCTTTCAAAGATGTGTCAAAACAAAAATGGTACACGTGCACATTGTTACCATAGTGAACAAAGGCTGAACTGAAAGAATTTATGCTGTCTGTTTTCAACAATAACACTACACTACTTAATTCATTGGAAGTGATGCTATTATTTTTTTAAAAGGGATATTAGTAAATTGAGTAACTATTATTTCCTATATTCCTATTCTGCAAGCAGTGAGTAACAAATTGTATAACCACTTTCAAACATTCTTCCATGTAAGCCTGAGTTTTATGACAGAATGTTGGTATTCCAATTGAAATGACCAAAGGCTTAGTAAACACAATATGAGTGTACAATTACCAGCATATTCTTGGACTTGGGTATGAAGTCAAACTGGGCTGCTTGGAACCAATACTTTAACACTGCAAAACAAATAAGAATCACACTTTTACACCACATGAGTAACATTTTTATTTTACAGTGAAGTGCAATTAAACTGCAATCTGCGGGACCACCCAATTTTCTATGATTTAGCCATGTTTTCAGTTTAGAGAGGATTGTTCTAATAGTGATGATTGTCGCTAGCATAGACATATATATAGCAAATTTCACCTTATCAAAGTTGTTTCACATCCACTTCTTATGAGGCTGCAATTTGAGCTGTATTCTGTGCCACTTGTGGTTTCTTTTCAATATTGTCGGCTTGCTTAATCAGCCGAACAGTCATGCAGAACAGACAAAGTAGCGGACAGAGAACTGAGAAAGAAAGCCCAATGCCAATGACGTCATTAAACACACCACGAGCTGTCAAATGCTCATGTACTGAGTCTATGAAAACAGAGACAATAGGCCACTACCAACCAGAGGCTGCGCAACAGATACATTCGCTATCCTTGTATCACTAGGCCCACTATATGCAGGTATGCAGTGTATATTGATGTGCACAATAAACATTGACAAACAGTACATTAGTTGGTAAAGCCTATCTCATTTGACCTATGTGACAAACGAAGAGCTCTGAAGAACAAGAAAAAGGAACCTGAAGATGCAAAAGAATATACAGAGAGATGAATCTGCAAGTGAAAAGGGGAATGAGAGAAGCTAGGGAGAAGTGGATTGAAGAACAGTGTGAAGAAATAGAAGACAGCCTGAATCAAATCAACAGTAAAAAGGCATACCAAATCATCAAAGATCTCACAAGTACAAAACTAAAGCGGACCACATCAATAAGAAGTAAAGAAAGGAAATGTTAAACACTCATCTCGCTGATTGGCAATGTTTACCACTCAGTTTCTTTGGATTTTCCCCAAAATATGATGGCAAAGTGTTAATGTGGGAACAAGAAGTTCAGAACTGGTGGACAGAATTTGCTCTGAACTGTACACCACAAAACCACAGGAGATCCAAGAGGGCACAATGTCTCCCAATCACAAGACAATGACAAAAGCAGTATCTTAAGAGAAGAGATAGAGGCAGCAGTCTCATCACTGAAGAAAGGGAAATAAGCTGGAATAGACAACATCACAGCAGAACTAGTTCAAGCAGGTGGAGACTCAGAGATAGACATGCTATGGATAATCTGCAACAAGATCTGGCAGACAGGCGAACGGCCAACACTGTGGGCTCAATCCTTGATCCTCAACTTCCCCAGGAAGGCAATCTTCAACAATGCCAAAACTATCGTACTATTAGCCTGATTAATCATTCTAGTAAAGTAATGCTTAAAGTCATTCTCAACAGACAGAAGCCACACACAGAGAAAATCATAGCAGAAGAACAGGCAGGCTTAAGGACAGGGCAGCACAACTGAACAAATATTCAACCTGAGAATCATTATGGAAAAGTACCTCCAACACTAACAGGAGCTTCACAAAATATTTGTGAACTTCAAAAAAGGCTTTTGACAGAGTATGGCAGGAAGCTTTTTGGATAACCATGATCTTAAACAACATCAACACCAAACTGATCAAAGTCATAGAAAAACTATACAACAAAGTTACGAGCGCAGTCTTTTTCAACAACAACATCGGGGAATGGTTCCAAACAACAGTGGGAGTACGCAAGGGTTGTCTGCTCTCACCAACTCTTTTCAACATTTTCTCGGAGAGAATCATGACAGATGTACTTGAAGATCACGAAGGAACAGTCAGTATTGGGGGCAGAATGATTAACAACTTATGCTTAGCAGACGACATAGACGGCCTTGCGGGACAAAAGCAAGAATTAGCTTAATAGGTCGTCTTGAAGAGACATGATTTCGGCACACATACCCAGTATTGCTGTTTTTTTCTGAAAGAAAGTAAGAGACGTGCAGCAATTTTTCAAACAGGGGAGGCATGCCCCCCCGACTTAATAAAATATGTGGGGGGGGGGGGGGGGGGGGGGGGGGGGGGGTGTCAGGGGCAGCATGGAAATCAGCAATGAGAAGACAAAACTGATGTCTAACAGCAACAAGAACATCACAGTGGACATCCAGGTAACAACCAGAGGCTTGAGACCATACACAACTTCAAATACCTGGGTGCAATAGTGACAGATGAAGGATCAAAACCAGAAATAATCTCCAAAATAGTGCAAACTTCAGCAGCAAAGACCAAGTTGAAAACCATCTGGAACTACAGAAATATCACCATCAGATAAAAAATCAGACTGATGCGTTCCCTGGTCATGTCAGTATTTTTGTACACATGTGAATCCTGGACCTTGAATGCAGACCTTGAAAGAGGGATCAAAGTTGTGGAGATGAGATGTTTCTGCAAAATCCTTGGTATCTCATACAAAGATCACATCACAAATAATGAAGTCAAACAACGGATCAAAAATGAAATAGGACCATGTGCTGACCTCCTCACTCTGGTCAGGAAACGCAAACTGCAATGGTATGGACACATCACCCGTTCATTTGGTTTTGCCAAGATGATCCTGCAAGGCAGCGTCCAGGGAAAAAGGAGCAGAGGCAGACTGAAGAAGTCTAGGGAGGACAACATCAAGGAATGGACAGGCCTGGAACTCCAAGAAACGCTCCAGACTGTTCAGTTTCACTCTCAGTCTCAGAGAGGCGCACTTAGTTATAGCCCGTCTGACCCATCTAACCCCTGTGACCCCTTGCGAAAGGTAATTGATCTTGACGCGTTACACCCCTTCCACCAGCCGATCCCTAGATCTGACCGTTCCGGGCGGAAAGGGTACAATTTCAAGATATTAACTGGAATTTACAGCATAGTACTCTCTTTACCCATCTCGTAAACCTAGGAGGGTTATGTACCAAATGAAAGCTCAGTATCTCCTCTATAACCTGCAGTTTGAAACCAGCTTGTATCTTGTTTTATGTTCCTTTGGGATACCTATATACTACCACTGTTGTACAGCTGTGTGTCAAGGAATTTTTTAGATTTAAAAGCGGATTTTTATAATTCCAACTGACAATTTTTGTTTTAATCTTCATATTTCTTTTTATAAATCTATTCTCTCCATTGCTGTGAAAAATCTTTGAGTTCAGCCTAAATTTACATGAACTAGCGCACTTTATGTGACTAGTCTAGTGCAACGCTCGGTGCAAAGAAAAACTCTGTGAAGCGGGAACTTGCTGTCTGACTTTCTTGTGTGTTTATAATTATAGAGCCTTTTAACATCAAAGATGGAACATTTTTATACCATCCACCTTTAGAATTTAAACAAGTTGTGTTTACTTCTGGTGGAAGAAGCTTAAAACTAAAGTGTCTAAGCAGCGATCTATTTCTGTGCAAAAACTGTAACTTAGCTATATATATATAGACTGAACATCGACAACGACACAGCCGACAATCATTCTAACACTCTGTGCAGGAAATGTGGCTCACGAATATACACATTATGGAAGCAAATTACAGATGCAACTTTGGAAGCCGTACAGAAATGTGTTTAAGACAGTGCCAATGTTTGGTCCGCTTACGACGCAAGCATTAGCATTAACAAGTGCTCTGTTTGTGTTCCCTGTGTTAAACTTAGCAAAGGATGCATTAAAGAGCGCATTCCTTAGTTTACGGAAGGACACGAGTTCCATTCTCCATCCCCCACTCATATGGTAGTGGAGTCTGCGAGCATAACGGATACCCCCACCCCAGATACTTCCTCTGTTAGTACAGGCCATGGTGCTCAGCCCTTTACCACCCAATCTACTTAAAGCGCATCTACACATACAGACAAAGACTCATTTTACATTTCACCAGAAACTCATAATTTGACATCCACACCTAAAACGAAGATGAAACAGTTCATAGACAGTACCAGCTCCCCATTAGTCAAACATGAAATGACATTAAACTTTAAAGTCAACACTTTTGAAATCTGACACAGAGCCACTCACACCGCTTGAAGAAAAAGTTGCTACACATCTGCTGAGGCTGAGGTTCAAAACAAAAGGACAGCCATTACTATCAAAGGATATTCACACACAGAATATCATAAACATAGCAAGCTCACTGACAAGAAAACGAAGAACAAATTCAATTTAAAGTCAGGCAGTCGGTTGCTGGTAGAAGAAAAAGCATAAAAAATAAACAAAAACAACTTAAAGCTGTTTTGTAAGCACATCAACTGCAGACATCGTCAGATTTGAAGGCCACACTCCCTGAGCCGGTGGAAAAACGCAAAATAAAAATAAAAGAGACCACAAGACGATTCACGGATAAAACCTTAGTTCCTAAATAGTTTTATAGTAGTATGTTTATCATATATAAATATTTACTGGAATAACATAAATTCCGCGTGAAGGTGTAAAGAATAGTCTTCAATATCATGTGAAATGTACTCATACGTTGGCTGGGCTCAACTGTTTTCCCACTCAATGACAAGACTGCGTGCATTAATTAACAATAGCAACAAGACATTTTGGCCGAACCTCATAAACGTAAGTGTGTTTGAAAGTTCAAAGTCTAACTGTGAGCTGACAGTGAAGACTAAAAATCAGTTAGTCCGTTTATTTTTAATTATTTTTTTAAAAACATGTTTGTTTGTGATGGAAGCCACATTCCCCCTCTTTTAAACTACACTTTCTTTTACTTCTCTGTGAAAATATTATGCTGTCGTAAACTACACCTTCATCTTCATGTGATCATTTGGTTGTTGTTTCATTGACTTTCCCGGCAGTAGAACTGGTGTTGCTTTATGTGTACAAAACATAACATCACGGGTGAGCCACTGACCGCGAGGCTCAGCGTCCGCAGGCAGCATGACCTGGGTTTGACCTCGTCTCGGGGGTCAGGTCGGCCGGCAACTAAGTGATCCTGAGTGGAACAGCCGTGGCTCAGAAAAGCTGAAGACAGGAAGGAGTGGAGGAAGCTGGTGGCCAAAACTTCAGAAGCGCCCCGACGGACATCCAGTCTACGGGATAGGTGAAAGTGAATCTCACAACTGCAATTAACACATGTGTGTGTTCTTGTCTCTTTCTTGTTTCACCATCTTGAAATGCTTAAGACTTAATGATTTGTGTTAGTCGGGGGATCCTAGAGAAGAGTTAGATAACATAACCTTGGAAATTCTTTTCGATGTGGAAAGAGACCATTTCAGATCATCAATAGTTTTCTTATAAAAAAAAACCAAGGCGAAAAATATCAGAAATGTTTAGTTTTTTCTGCTTACCACTGTTTTTAGATTAATCGTGTTCAGTTTAAGTGGACTTCACTGTATCTCCCAACATAGTGTCACCATCGTGATAAGATCAGATAACTACAAAATGTTCAATTTTGCTTTTTTTAAAAAACATATTCTACAATGCATGTTTTATATGATGGTTTAAAATTTATATTCAAATAAACAACCAAAAGAGTACTATTTCAACTAAATGAAAACCGGACTTATAACTCTAAGCTGTCCTTTTAATAAATCAGCTTTTCTTTCTCTTGCAAAATTTACCCACCAATGTCCCTTATAATCTGATCTTAACATGACAGCAACAATGTGTGACTTTGGTTCAGGCGTGGTTCGTCCATAGAGCACGGTCGTGCAGAGCCGCCCAAAAGTTTTTAATATTCTATTACGTAAAGCACCAAAAAACATAAAATAAAAGAAGCAAGAAACAAGCACTAGCCAAATATAATATCAAAACAAGGTCCTCACTGGCGCCATAACTGTCATTTCTGAGTCTATAGCGCCGTAAAACATCTACTATGCCATGCCAAAGTCCACACGCTTTAACTTAACACAAAAAGACATTCAACAGTGGTAACCTGACCTATAAATCGCTCTTTGGGATAACCCAAGCGATGACGACACTTGTAGCGAGTTTGGCGGTACATTAATATTAATAAGCCGGCACATCTCAAATGTGATCCTGCCGAATAGTGCCGATAGGCAGTCTAAAAATAAACGCGATAGATTGTATGCTATTCCATGCCAAAAGTATGTGAGCTTTGGAGCAATCCAGCGGAGTGCTCAAGTGAATTATGACTGATTCATCGTCTTGCCGCTATTTTAAGTGACTCTGTGACTGTGAACCTGAGGGAGGTGACTGCGACATACAGTCACACCTGCCCTGACGGCCACCTGTACAAACGGCCACTTTCCATTTCCCCCCTTGCGTTTTTTCTATATAATTTAACTGTGTAAAACGGGCACCTGCCCAACGCGGCCGTGGCCACACACCACCCCTATCACACTACGCAATAACACCTGTCTTAGACGGCCACCTTAGTGACTCCATTTCGTTTTGTCATAAATTGTGCATTGGCCCCTGGCGTTGTGGGCGAGCCATCATAATTCAATCACCTGTCGTTGTTGTTAGGTAGTCCCTCCAACCGATCATGTTGCCTAGGCCCCTACCACTGTCACTGTTGAGCAATACCTACCAATTTTCAGCTGCTGGTGAGGTAAGCGTGTGAACCCTCATAACCCATAAGCCCTGTCCAGAACTCGTACACAAATCGTAAGTGAGATGAGAGGTCACTGTTTACCTAGTCTGTGACAAAGTAACAAAGGACGTCAACATGAACTTGAGACAGAAGCGTCACTCGTTCTCCAAGTGGTGGCGACCAATGTGTTTGTTTTAACATGGCACTTGGTCTTCCTCGTCTGATACATTTCGTTTTATTGTCACCCTTGTGCAAAATCAGCAACAAAATAAAAATTACAAACAAAATACAAACCACCAACAACAAAAACAATGACAATGCGGCTACTTTCGATTGGGACCTCAGATGGGAATGGTTTGTTTTCTTCATCTTGATCAGTCCTGCCTAAGACGGCCACCTGTCTTATACTGCCACTTTTCTCCTTGACAATGGGTGGCCGTCTTACACAGGTTTGACTGTACTTAAGTCACCGTCCTATGGGTTGTGCCTTTGAAAAGTTTTTGTAGTGGAGTGGGGAAAGTTATTACTGGAGTGTTCAGTTCTAATACAGGATGAACGAATTTGATGTTTAGCTAACAAACATATTTAGTAGAAGAAATCAAAGCAACAAGTTAAAAAAATAAAAATAAAAGCATAAGGTCCTCCTTCTCCAACCCAAAGATCCTGAAATTATACACCATCCAATTTACTATGCCCTTGATTATCTTCAGCCTAAGATAGCTTAATTGTGCACACCCACTTTTTAGCCCCCACCAGCCGCCCCTGCTTTGGTTGTTCCTTCTTCTCTTAAACACCCCTCTTTTAATTTTTATATTTGTTCATTTACCTTTAAACATTGTTACATATTATCAAAACCTCATTACAAAGATACTACATCACTTTTTAGAACGCAAGTCTCTTTTTTTAAAAATACTGCTGTATTAGCTGGGACTCGGGTTAGGGAGTGCACAAAAATGGATGGGGCTGGAAGGGTTAAGACTCCAGGTACACGATTACATCTGTTCAGCTAAAAAACTTAAGTGTGAGAAATAAAGTAACAGTTTCACGAAGCAGTGGAATCAGGTGCTTAGTCAGTGCTGGCCCGAGACTGCTCACTAGTATTAACTCTTGTCCTGCGTCTGTGCTGAGATGCCAATCTTATCAGCAACCGATTACGTCGGACGTGTCGGGCAGGCCGCCGGGGTCACTCAGTGTGTTCTGTTGGTGTACAGCGTGCGCACCGGGAAACGTGTGTTTTCGCCATGAATACTGCGGGAGTGTGTTAACCGATGATGAAAATAACGCTCTATCTTTCATAGCTTTCTATTTATAAAGTGTTACAAACACATGAATAACCCCCTCTAACAAGCTGATAAGACATTACGAGTAGTTACGCTCATTCGAATAACCTTTCTGAACGTTCTTGTTGTTATGAATGACCGGAGGTTCGAAAGGGGATAATATAGGTCAATTTCCGAAAGTTTTACACTCAAACTGTTCTTTGTACCTGCACAATGGTATTCAAAACTATCAAACAAGCTTATTTTTTATCAGGTAGTATCATTTCATACAAAATCAAGCTCATTTGAAACATTTTGAATAGAAAAAAGGAAGTCTTGTTTCCTGACTATCCTTTCGAGCTCCTCATGGCTAATACGTGGGTCAATTTCTTCTATAATTTCATTGGACGAACATCTAGAGCTACCAACTTGGCTTGTTTTGAATGAGACGTATGCCTCGATTACGAACCAACGCAGGCGGTTCTAGAAGAAGGCCACAAATACACACAAACTCAAGCAGACTGACGCACACACACTTGACCTGTGAGAATGGGGATCTGATTCGGGACCCGAATGACACGTAAGATGATGCGCGCTGCGCGTGCGCTGAGCCAGGGGCTACACTGATTCGGGACCAGAACGTAGGCGAGGTGCCGAAATAGGCTTATCGGGCTGCATAAACCCGGCTCCCACAGGACGAGGGTTAATATGTACCACGACCTAATGAAAACTATGTTCTATGAAATTTGACATTCAAATAGTCTCAACAAGGAATAGATTGCAGATGGTCACAACGAAAGAAGAAAGAGGGAAGCCAGGACCAGTCTCAAAACAAAAGAGATGAACATGTATGAAGCTGATAAGGTACTTACGCAACACTTGAAGATATACAAATTCAAAATGACCCATGAAAGTGATGATCGTCCATTATTCCCTTGCACTCACTGCAATGTGCAGTATCTTATACACGACACGCCATCATAACAGTACAGAAAATGCAATCATTATTACTTTATTGATAAAAGATGTTGTCTCTTTATTTTCACCTTCATAATGTTCCTCCACAACTACCAGAGGCGTCTCGTCAGATCTGTGCGTCTTCACGCGTGGCAGCCACATCTCATCGGCAGGGTTAGGGGACCACAGACTGTGAAGTCTCTTCTCATTAGACACCTGATCTGAGGGGCTGTTGAAAACCTCAAATAGGACCAGTCGGGCTGTTATCCAGAACAGGAAGACAAGAAGCAAAGTGAACATCCATCGCAGCCAGCGCTGCCACCTCCTCACGAGAAGCATTTTCATCTTCTTCTCACACCATGTTGGATCCAATCTAAAAGAAAAATATACATTTTTAAAAAATGAACATTTTGAAAGAACCCAAACATCCTCAAAGCAAAGCACAGAGCAAACAAAATGAAAACTATAAAAATACAGTGTATTTTGTGAGAAGACCTTTGCTTCGCCAGGCAAAAAAGTAAGTTCCCTTCTCATATGGGGAAGATGGAAGCAACAAATTAAGTCTGTCCCCATAGAATTATGCCAATTTAGATGGCCAAATTATGCACAGAAAAAGCCAAATTATGCAAAAATTATGCAAGTTACCGTAACACCTTTCGC